GATCAAAACTACTCGAGCCAAAGAAACTTGTTTTTGTACAGCAAATTATATGAACAAAATTGATTTGTATGGTCATATTTTTTCAATCACCATTTTCCTTCGATCGAGTAGTTTTTCTAGATCTTCCATACAAGTCGAAAAGCAAGTGAACCTTAAGAGTCGGATTTAAGTTCAATGTGATGAGAAACACAACTTCTAGGCTAGAGAAAGGCCTCGCCGGAGGAAATGGGGCAAAAACAGTTGCAAGAAACAACCGTTTCTCGGAAGGTTGATGGCCAAGATTTGGCCACAAAAATGTAAGATCCAGATTTTATTTTATACATCATTTTTCACATCATGTGTGGGACTCACAAAATTTTGTTCTATAATTACACGTTATATAAAATGAGTTATATCGTATGCAAAATGTACAAAATCGGTCCGAACAATTGTTCTTTGACTGCTACTGCCCCTGGTCCCTCGCGGGATCTTAAACAGACTATAAAAATGTGTGAATTTCTTGCCAAACTCCAAAATCAATAGCACATTTTTCATGTGCTAGATTTGGACTCCTACAGAAGAATGAAATATGGGCTTTTCAGTGTCTGCACCAGTATTGGGTCCATTTCATTTGGAACTTGTATTGACGGAAACGACACCCAGTAATACCAAGTAATTGGGCTTTGAAGTCTATCTCTGCTCGAGCTAGCTTTGTAGACATTTTCTTCAAATCAATACACAACTGATTTTTTTTTTTCCCTTTTATACGGTGCACCTGCAGAAGCCAATAAGAAATCAATGACCAGACTAGGGAGGACAATAGGGGCAAATGTCTACCGGGGAAGGAAAGGGGCGGGAGAACTTGCCTCCGCTCTACCGTCCGCCTAAATTTTAATATAGTATAACATTTATTTATGTTTTAATATGCATAATATGAAATAAATACTATATGATTATTATATAAATATATTTGTATGAATTAAATAACACGTCATGTTATTATGATAAAATGATATAATATTTTGCTAAAATTTCAAAAAAATAATAAAACTATTATTAGATCTATATAAATAGAAAAACTTAAAGTAAATAAAAAATAATAATAATAGTAAGGGTAGGGCGGGTGCACCTACAAGATAGTAGAGCAGGGTTGGGGTGGGGGCAAGGGGCAAGGGTTGGAAGAGTGGGAGATAGAATGGGAATAGGGAGAACCTTTGTAGAGTGAGACGAGGATAGGTAGAAATTTTTCAACGCAAAATCGTCTCGTTGTCATCCCTATACTAGATTAAGTTTTTATTCACCCCTATAAAAATGTTGAATTACTTGATTTGAAAGGAGTATTTTTGTCAGGATGACACCATCTAATTTCAATGACAGTTGAAAAATATACAATCATGAATAGCATACACATAATACCAAAAAAAAAAAAGCAAAGAAAGAAAAAGTACTACTGGGAACACCATACACGTACACTCACACACACAAGTACAAAGGAGAATACCTTACATTATTTTTAGGGATAATTGCAGAAACCTCCCCTGAGATTTCTGACATTTGCAATGACCTCCCCTGTAGGTTTAGAAATTGCATTCACCTCCCCTGAACAGTAACAATTTGTTGCAGAAACCTCCCTGACAGCTTTTGTAGATGTGAGATAAGAAATTTCTTCCAATTTTGCCCTCTTCTTGCTTGACAATTATTATTTGCTTGACAATTGCTTAACTAATTATCTAATTAGTTAATAGTTAAACTAATTAACTATTAACTAATTATCTGATTAATTATTAACTAATTAACTAATTATCTAATTAATTAATTAACTAATTAACTAATTTCTATTTATCTAATTAGCTGTTTAACTAATTAACTAAAGCTGTTGTCTGTCCGAAACTAACAAACTATTTGCATGTTAAACTAATTAACTAATTAACTGCTTAACTAATCAACTAATTAACTAACTAACAAATTAACAGACTATTTGCATGTTAAACTATATGTAGTACGCATTACCTATTTACAGTATCTGCTCTTTATGGGTATTTTACTTTCAAACATTTAATTTATGATAAAAACATCAATGTTTGTAAGTAAAATTCAAAAAGTGTTACAGTAATATTCTTACAAAAAGGGAGGAGCATAGGGCCATAAATTAAATGTTTGAAAGTAAGAATATTGATATCTTTTGTAACACTTTTTGAATTTTACTTACAAACATTGATATTTTCATCATAAATTAAATGTTTGAAAGTAAAATACCTATAAAGAGCCGATACTTTAAATAGGTAATGCGCACTGCATATAGTTTAACATGCAAATAGTTTGTTAATTAGTTAGTTAATTAATTAGTTAATTAGTTAAGTAGTTAATTAGTTAATTAGTTTAACATGCAAATAGTTTGTTAGTTTCGGACAGACAATAGCTTTAGTTAATTAGTTAATTAGATAAATAGAAATTAGTTAATTAGTTAATTAATTAATTAGATAATTAGTTAGTTAATTAGTTTAACATGCAAATAGTTTGTTAGTTTCGGATAGACAATAGCTTTAGTTAATTAGTTAATTAGATAAACAGAAATTAGTTAATTAGTTAATTAATTAATTAGCTAATTAGTTAGTTAATTAGTTAAGTAGTTAATTAGTTTAACATGCAAAAAGTTCGTTAGTTTCGGACAGACAACAGCTTTAGTTAATTAGTTACACATGCAAATAGTTTGTTAGTTTCGGATAGACAACAACTTTAGTTAATTAGTTAATTAGATAATTAGATAATTAGTTAATTAGATAAATAAAAATTAGTTAATTAATTAATTGGATAATTAGTTAGTTAATTAGTTAATTAGTTTAACATGCAAATAGTTTGTTAGTTTAGGATAGACAACAACTTTAGTTAATTAGTTAATTAGATAAACAAAAATTAGTTAATTAATTAATTAGATATTTAGGTAGTTAATTAGTTAAGCAGCTAATTAGTTAATTAGTTTAACATGCAAATAGTTTATTAGTTTCGGACAGACAACAACTTTAGTTAATTAGTTAATTAGATAAATAGAGATTAGTTAATTAGATAAACAGAAATTAGTTAATTAATTAATTAATTAATTAGATAATTAGTTAATTAGTTAATAGTTAATTAGATAATTAGTTAATAGTTAATTAGTTTAATTATGCAGAAATAGTTTGATTAGTTAATAACTATTAACAATTAGATAATTAGTTAGTTAGTTAATAGTTAATTAGATAATTAGTTATTAATTAATTAGATTATTAGTTATTTAGTTAATTAGTTAAACTATGCAGAAATAGTTAATTTAGTGTAATTTTTATTAACAAATGTTTTGTTGGGTTTGATGAAAGTACTCATCACATTCATTTGGTAAAATTAAATCATGTCAGGGATACTTTAGTAAATTGATCCACTTTTGCCTATTAAATTGCCTCCAACTTTTGATAGGGGAGGTCAGTGCTATTTCAATATTGATAGGGGAGGTCAATGCTATTATTATAAAAGTCAGGGGAGGTTTCTGCAATTATCCCTTATTTTTAGCAAGCTACATCGGCTAACTTACCGCAAGCAATGGACAATGGACTCATATAATAAGCCCCAAAGTTATATATATTAGTGCAGACGAAAACTTTCTTTGCAAAATAACTTATAGGGAAAATCGTCTAAAATGTGTCTCACATTTTGTAAAATAATTTTTTTCGTCTCTCACTTTTAAAAGTATAATTTTATGTCCCTTACATATTCACATCGATCAAATTTAGTCCCTAACTAAGTTTCCGATCATTTTTTGGCAGGAATCCATCACGTGCAAGGCATGTGATCATTTTTTAAGGGTAAATTTGTCAAATTATATTTTACATAATCTGATCTATAGTCCTCCACATTTTATAAAACAAATTTTTTCGTCCCTCACATTTTATAAAATGATTTTTTCATCCCTCACATTTCACAAAATAAATTTCTCTATCCCTCACATTTCAAAAAATGAATATTTCCATCCCTCACTGATTATGTATGTGAGGGAAACCCTAAAAAAAAATGTATGTGAATACATTTTGTTTAAACACATGTATATGTCTATTTGATTTTGCTAAATAATACGAATAGCATAAATATATGTACGTGTCTATTTGATTTCACTTAACAATATGAATACCACATATTATACGTGATCATTTGATTTTATCTGGTATTAGCTAGTAAATAATCTTGTATTCATTGTCAAGTTGGCCAATAAAGTTATTTTCGGTCAAAATACAATAAGAATATATAAATTAAGGTTCTATTGCTAAATATTAGTCATAATTATACAAAAAGAGAAGATAGCCCACAAGTTGGGCCCAATTATATACATGTGTTTATGCTATTATTATTAAACAAAATCAAATAGACATATAATATTCTCAAAGAGTATATGTTGGGTAAGTAAAGGAAAAAGTCCAAACTTAACAGGCACAAAACTGCATAATGGGGCAAAAACACTGACTTGTGAGGGATATAAGCATTGAAAATTTTAAGACAAAATGCATTAAGTTTTAATGGGTCAATGGCAATTTGACCTTCCAAAGCAGGTGGAAATTCAATTAGCCTGTTAAATCTATAAGTTTTAAATTTTTCTTAGGGAAGCAAAAACAAATTGAAAAGTTTCAGAAGATAAAATCACAAAAGTATGAATCATATTCCTACAGATTTGTTGAGTCATTAGATGTTAGAATTTGGATGGAATTAAACTAAAGGGCCAAATATATTACTCGTTCTTTTTTATTACCAAAAAAATCATTTTATTTTGTTTTCATATCCAAGTTTAAATTTTTAGTATTTGGAGGGTTAAATTGAGATTTTAACCTACTTTTGAAGGCCAAATTAGCATCAACCAAAATTAACTAAAACCACACTAAAACATTATAGGGCACAAAAGAAAAATAAAAAAATTAGGGTCTAATTTTGCAATTTGCCCTTGCACTTTCACCCGCCTTTCTCCTACTTCACCACCCCAACCCCAACTAGCTAAAGTTGCCTGTGGCGGAAGAACTTCCTGAACCGTTTTCGAGTAGTGAATACTGAGTAGGGGCCTGGGATGAGGAACTCCACCTCAGTGCTCACTGTTCAGTGCACATTCCTATACAAACTATTTTCACAATCCTAAAGAACCCAGACGGCATTAAAAGATGATGCTAATGCTACAGCAATCGCAATGCAAAAACTACCGTTGAGGCATTTCACCAAACACCTTACCTGCACGAAACGGATCTTCTCCTCTCAGCTTCCCAAAACCAAAATGGGCCTATCCTCAATATCCTCTTCACCGCCTATGCAACAATCACAATCACTTAATGTCAAATCCCTCCACACTTCACTCTTCTGCACGCTCATTCACCTCTTCCTCCGCTGCCACCGCCTCTCAAAGGCCATAGGCACCTTCTCCGCCATGAGAAGTCACAATCTTACTCCTGATATACGTTCTTGGAACCGCCTCTTGGCTCACTTCAATGATGCCGGTTTGGTCGACCAGGTGATGATTCTTTACTCGGAAATGGTCTCTTCTGGGGTCAGCCCCAATGTGGGCACCCGTAATATAGTTATTCATTCTCTTTGTAAAGTTGGAAAGGTTAAAGAAGCTTTGGTCATGCTTAGAGGCTATAATTTGAGTGACACTGTTAGTTATAATACTGTAATTTGGGGATTTTGTAAAAATGGGTTTCAGAAGGCGGGACTTGGATTGGTGTCTGACATGGTTAAAAGGCGCGTAAAGATTGATACTTTTACTTGTAATATACTGATTAAGGGGTTCTGCGAAATGGGATTGTTGGAAACTGCTGTATTTGTGATGCAAATGTTTAGTGGTAGTAGTAATGTTTATAGGGATATTGTTGGTTTTAATACTTTGATTCATGGGTACTGTAAAGTTGGTGACATGAATGGTGCTGTTAGGTTGACTGAGAAAATGAGAGAAGAGGGCGTGTTGCCTGATATTGTGAGTTGCAATATTTTAATTTATGGGTTTTGTAAAGTAGGAGATTTTGACAGGGCCAAGAGTCTCATGGATGAGCTCTTGCATTCTTATGAGGATGTAAACATTTATAACAATAAGCAACAACAGAACAGTGATCAGGGTGAAAATAAGGAATCTTTGGTTAGACGGTTGGATGTTCAACCAAATCTAATAACGTATACAACATTGATTAGTACGTACTGCAAGCAGCATGGAGTTGAAGAAGTACTTGCCATATACGAGGAATTGATTGTGGCAGGGTTGTTTCCTGATGTAGTTACATATAGTACAGTTATATGTGCTCTTTGTAAGGCTGGGAGAATTGCTGAAGCCAAATTACTTTTTGAGGAGATGAAAATGGTGGGAGTGGATCCCAATCATGTCACTTATTCAATCCTTGTGGATACTTTATTTAAAGCTGGGAATGGCATAGCTGCAGATAGTATACAGAGTCAAATGGTAGTTCGTGGTATTGCCTTTGATGTGGTGGTGTTTACAACTTTGATGGATGGGCTTTTCAAGCTAGGAAGGAATAAGGAGGCTGAAGGTATGTTTCAGATCCTTGTGAAGTCCAATATAGTTCCCAATCATATTTCTTATACTGCATTAATTGATGGGTGCTGCAAATTAGGTGATATTGGGGGTGCGGAATCTTTGCTGGAAGAGATGGTGCATATAAATGTTCTTCCAAATATTGTCACATTATCTTTAGTGATTAATGGCTATGTCAAAGAGGGAATGCTTGATGCAGCATCAAATCTTATGAAGAAAATGGTCAGCATGAATATCATGCCTAATGTTTTTACTTATGGCATCCTCATAGACGGCTATTTCAAGGCTGGTAAGAGAGAAATTGCTTATGGTCTTTATGAGAAGATGAAATTGAGAGGGATCAAGGAGAATTGTTTCATATTAGACATATTGGTTAATAATATGAAAAGAGAAGGAAGGGCAGATGAGGCTGAGGCACTATTCAGGCACAAAGTGTCCAGTGGATTTTTACCTGACCATGTCAACTACACATCTCTCATGGATGGACTTTTCAAAGCGGGGAGGGAGTCAGTAGCACTAGGAATAGCGCAGGAGATGGCAGAACAAAATTTAGGATTTGATGTGACTGCATACAATGTATTGGTCAATGGACTATTGGGACTTGGCCAATACGAAATGCAAAATGTTTATGAGGGTATGAGACAATTTGGCTTGGTTCCCGATATTGCAACATATAACACCATGATTAGTGCCTACTGCCGAGAGGGAAAGCTGGAAAAAGCTCTTGAAATCTGGAAGGAAATGAGAAGTTGTGGGGTCATGCCTAATTCAGTCACTTGTAATGTTATTGTTAAAGGACTTTGTGAGGTGGGTGAAGTTGGTAAATCAATGGATCTGTTGAATGAAGTGATTGTTCTGGGGTTTACTCCCACATTAACTACTTATAAATCTGTGGTTGATGCTGCTTCAAAGTGTGAAAGGGCTGAGGCAATCCTGCAAATCCATAGCCAGCTTGTTGATATGGGACTTAAGCTGAATGTTTCAGTTTACAACACTCTTATAACAGTCTTATGCAGGCTAGGGATGACTAGAAAAGCAAAATCAGTAATAAAAGATATGAAAGAAAAAGGCTTCTCAGCTGATACTATCACATACAATGCCCTGATACGTGGATATTGTAAAAGCACACATATACAGAAGGCTTTTGTGACATTTACCCAAATGCAGGTTGAAGGAGTTGCCCCAAATATTGCAACATATAATGCTCTTTTAGAGGGTCTATCAACTGCTGGATTGATGGATGAAGCATCTGAGCTACGTCAAAAAATGAGGAAGAAGGGGTTTATCATGAATGCTAATACTTATGAAATTTTGATTTCTGGCTATGGGAAGGCAGGGAATAAAAGGGAGTCGATAAAGATTTACTGTGAGATGATAACTAAAGGTTTTGTTCCTCGAGTTGGCACTTATAATGTACTCATGCATGGGTTTGCCAAGTTGGGAAAGATGAAGCAGGCTAGAGAGCTTATGAATGAAATGGAACACAGAGGAGTACGACCTAATTCTTCAACTTATGACATACTTATAACTGGGTGGTGTGAGCTATCAACTCAAGCAGAGGTTGAGAGGTCACAGAAATTAGCCTACCAGGCTGAGGCAAGAAGGTTATTTAAGGAGATGAACGACAAAGGTTTTACTCCAAGTGAAACCACAATCTCTTGTATCAGTCCAGCTCTTGCAAAACCAGGGAAAAGGGTTGATGCCCAAAGGTGGTTGGAAAAGTTTTACAAGAGGAAGAGCACTTAATTAAAGATGCAGCTTGATGTCCAATTTGGCAAATTGACCAATAGTTAACTTCAAAATATGGATTTCATTGGAAGTTGAAGAGATTATGAAAATGTTTGAAAGAAGAGTAAAAACAAAGAAAGGAATATCATGTTTGAGGAGTTGGGACTAGTAGCAGGTACAGTTCTTTCACATGAAAGTGAGTTTACCTTGTCTCATATTCTGTTCTCATAATCGAATGATAGCTTTCTTAGTTGTTGATGTATTGTTCCTGTGTTGTCTTAGCTCCTTGCTCTTTACTAGATTGAGGAATATTTCTGCCTCCCTTAATGTACATTTCCAAGTACTTAACTCGTACGCTGGATGCTTCCAGTGGGCTAATTTTTTTATGTTTATATATATCTTATTGCAGTAAATGTAGTTGAAGAATTTAACTGTTTCAATTGATGTATGTATATGATTTTAGACAATTTCCTGATTTTATCTTTGCAATCAGCTTGTGCAGTGCAGATATCATTTCCAGATGGTACATAGCAGATCTTCTGTGGAATCTCCTAGAGAAGTATAAGGATAAAATACATGTCAAAGGTTCAAATTATCAGCCACACATAAAGATCTGGGGTTAACTGCTATATCCTTGTGTCGTGCATAGCTGATTTTTCCTGCTGTAGCCTGTCTAGGCCTTTAGATCTTTTTTGGTTCCAATGAACAGGTAATGAGCTAGTCTTTAACTTTCTATGTAGGAACTGTACCATATGTTCTGCTTATTTGAATGATAATTCTTTGATAAGCAGGAGTAAGCTTTTAGAATCTCTAGCATGGTCTGCTTCTAGCAGTCTTGGGAGGGTTACAGTTATTGGCATGGTCTGGTAGAAATTGACGATACATGATTTCTATTTGCTTCTTGATGTTTGTACTCTGGTCCTCTTCCACCACGGCTGAACCAATGATGTGACTTTAGGTTGTTTTACTGTTTAATAATAGAAATTTAAAACTCCCACTTTTTTAAGTGACCTTTTTTCTGTGACAGGGAAAAGAGCCATTATTGCAGAGTTATCCTCCTGGCAGAAAACAGGAGCAAACAACTAATACATAGAGGTTTTTATGGATACCTAAGTTCCCTGTACTACACTGTGAGCACACATTTTCCACAAAACGAGACACACTATGGGTTCAGGAAATTGTCAAATTGATGTTCTCTTTTTCTGTTGGCTGAGCCACATGAAAGTACAATGCCATTGCATTCTACAATCTGATGGTTTAAGGAATTTATATATTCTTCGGGTAGAACTACATTTCTCAAACCTCTATAGGTATATCATCTCTTCCTCTGACCCCCCCCCTCCAGACGTTTCCTTCCTGCAGTATTGCTTGACTAGCTGGCTCACTTCGATCATAATTTACCAATGCAGGGAGGTTTTGCTTCTTGGGTGTCTCTCTAGTTTGCATCAACTGGATTGATTTTGATACAGATTGATCAATTAGGTCATTGCACATCCTTAAAGTCTGAAGTTACATGAATCGTGACTGCTATCTAAGACCCAATTGTTTCATTGACACCACAGAGTATGAAAGTCATAGTTTTGGACACATTCTACATGGGGTAAGTCTGGATTATTTTGTTTTTTAAACGTCAATGAAGATGTTTAGTAGAAATTTGGCTGTACTCTCTGGACATTTTTTGGCTAATATTGTTCTATGAGATCATTGTTATATCCTAAAGGAAAACAGTATCCAATTCTGCTGGCAGTTTGGGATCTTAAATACTTGTTTGCTAACCACTGGACTTAAAAGAAGCTTGTGACTATAAAGAATCAATAGGCAAGAAAACTACTCCTGTTTTTTCACTATTCAATCTTTTTCCATAATTTAGTGCCACTGTCAGTGTTACTGATGACCAATGGTTTTGACAATTTTTTTCCCACTTGGTAATATAATGAAGTGCAAGGATGCAGACTTGTTCTCAAGACGTGAGTCAACAATTTGTATCACTCGAACTACCTGAGGATACAATTTTCTTTACTCAGCTAGATTAAATATGAGAAATGGATACTGAATTTCTTGTAATACCACCTAGCCTAATCCCACATTGCGGGTTTGATGCTTTTCAGCATTTTCAGTAGATGCAAATTGTTCTGTTAAAGCTGGTCGCAGCCACTGATTCAAGATCTTTTCTTTGCTTTCTAATGTATACAAATGACATCACTTTAATCCAGGATAGAGGTACTTAATTTTTATCTATAGTTCATAGCTCCTGGGAAAGTAATATCACAATGTTCTAGTTTCACATCTAAATACTATGCCATTAACTCATGGACAATGCAAAATTAAGTATTAATGACGACTTCGCCGCATCTTATAAAGGTTCAATTATAGCCCTGCTATAACTCCCAATGCAAGATTACAGTTCATGGATTCTTGCTGCCACTGTTATGACTTCATTCAATATGGTACTGATAACAAGAAAGATCAGAGCTTTCCCAATTGTTCCATCTCTTATATTCCTATGTGTATGATCTGTAAAATTTTACGGTGTTTGACTAATTCATGCTGGATCTATAATACAGTATTTGAGTACAAATACACAGCATGGCGGCTTCTTTATGTATGTAATTTCTGAGGTATTGGTTGATGCAAGGATGGTATAACATTGGGTTTGCCAGACATAAATACAACAGTTGGAACTGTTATGAGGTCTCAGAAATTTGGGTTAATAGCACAACTACTATGACGAGTTTAGGGACCCCAGTTCCTAACTTCCGGGCTATGGGTTTTGTTCACTGGGTTATATTCATTCACCTACTTAGGTTGTTGATCTGACTTTGAATGGTAAATTATTCATTTTCTCTTGTTGCTTTGGGCCACAATAGCTATCTGGTTGGTGCACTCTTTATGGTGTATTGTTCTCTGTGATCAAGGTCCATTCAGTATTCCATGAATGAGCAACAATTTCCTGGAAAAACAGCAGAATCAGATGATACATTTGGTTCTCTATCAAGTTCATTGATCATTTAACTACATGTTGAAGAAGGATGCATTTATTTTATCTGTTCAAGACTTGTGTCCGTTTGTCCTGCTTTCTGCTCTGACATCCCTTGTCTATCTCTTGCAGCTTCTTGAACATGTCATACGTATGGTACCATGGCATTGAAGGAATTCCAGTTGCATGTGGTGGACATGCTTATCTGTGATAAGGTGAAGAGTGGTGCATGCCCACCAACCCCAATCCCCCCCCCCCCCCCCCCCCCCCCCCCCCCCCCCAAAAAAAAAAAAGAGAGAGAGTAAAAAGCATGCAGCTTGCATTGGATGGCCTTTATGGAGTGTTACTTGCAATCTATTTGATATGGACGCGAGCTTAATCTACTTGGGAGTGAGTAAATTTATGCTACAATATTGTGGAGGTGTTGCATATTACTCCTAGCTATTGAGAAGCAACATTAATTCTTGGCATCAAAAGCTAATAATTTCGTTTTACTACTAGTGTATTACCTCATGTTACTACCTTCTTTCATCTGAGACTGCTGAATGTCTCCTACTTTCTTTGAAGACAGGATGAAAGGAGAATCAGTTAAACGGTTTGGACAACTGGGACTTCAGTTTTAGTCAAGAGTGGGGTTCAAACTTGAAGACAGCAGATCACGGATGGGGTATGCTTCATTTATTGAAAGGGTGAATGAAATTCCAGATGCTGCTCGAGTGAGTACACCAACCGCTCTGTTTTCTTAAGACCAGACAACAGAACATGGAGAGTCGTGTTAACGCTTTAGGTGCAGGCACTTCTCCCTGTGAAGAGAGAACAGCTCAAAAATATTAAAGGAAGCCACATGCAGAAAAGCATAATAATGGAAACAAGCTGACCAGACTTGACGCCATTACACCTAATTGAGAGGTATGTTTTGATTAGGAAGGCATGAATTTACGATTAGTCTTGAAATGGAAATAGGAGAGCCTTTCTTTCTTTGCGGTTTGTTTGGTGAGTTGCAACAATGATAGATGATCAAAAAATCAAGAGAAGCAATCCCAGTCCTTGATCTGTTGTAGCCTGTGGAACAGCTCAAATTTTAGGCCAAGTGAAGGACAAAAATTGATCTGTTATTGAATCATGACCAGTTGCTTCCCTTAATCAAAATCTTGGTAATGTGTCGCTTCATGTTAATGACTACATGTGCAGTTGTCAAAAAAAAAAAAAAGAAGCAATTTTCTTTTGATATCAAAGTACAAAGCGTGATTTTTAACTTTTTATTAATAGTCTTGCCTAGCGATTTTGTTGGAACGAATCAAGTATTAGCAGCTCATCTAATTCTACCCTATCCAAAAGTAGAAATCTGGCAGCCTAACCAGTGACCCCCCAAAAGAGCATATATTAACGTTTAATGTGGTTTAGATCTAATTCGCACAATTTGCTTGCCGATCCCTTTCCCATTTTAGAAAAAGAAGAAGAAGAGGGTTGGACTTCTAGACAAATGTAAAGAACGATGAAAGTAAAGCTCATTGGTCAGAGTAAGAGTATCCAATTATCCATTCTGCTTGACTTTTTCTACTCATTTTTCCAAGGCTGATGGAAGAGCCTATATATGGAACAGATCTTGGGATGTAATAGGTGAAGTTTTTTAACGAGAGAGAATCAGAAAATGTCGCATCAAGGCAGGACAATTGCCTTTGGAAGGCAACTGTTTCTAGCATTTAAAGGCCAACATTTTGGTTCACAAAACAAATATTCAAAGGCATCCTTCCTTCTGCTCAAATAACGCCTGTAGTTCTAATATAACTAACATGGAGTTTTTTTTTTTTTTGAAATGATTAATACAAGATTTTAATATCAACGCTGCTCTTTTACAATTTCTATTGAAATTGTCATACTTTTTAATTAGAGATATTTGAAAATGTTTGTCATCATATTAAAATTTAAGTCAATATTTTCAAAATTGAACCGATCAGTAAGATAGCGAATCAGTCAAGTTTTCGATTCGATTCACTGCTAGCTAGCGTTGATTTATCATAAATATGATTTGCGATCTCTTTTGTCAATATCATTCCCACCGTTATTTATATTTCATATCAAATTTGAATTTGAATATTTGAGTGCAATTCTAAATATAAATTCATTAACATCATCATCATCATCATCAAATCACTATTCTCAACAAGTTTAGAATTTTGAGATACGACAATCAATTTTTTTTGGGATGCGGAATTTTTTTTTTAAAATAACAATCCAAGATTTATTCCAAGACTAGTACATTATGTTCTGACTCGAAAGTAGTAAAAGTTGTGACAAAGGAACATAATAATGATGTTGGACAGACGCGTTGCGGCATTGAATAATGTACCCAGAAAATGAATCTGTATAAAGAACATATGGCTGTGGATTACGTGTCCGAAAGAATTTTACTACAAAAAAAAAAAAAAAAAAAAAAGAATGAAGTATCCCTGCCGTGGTCCGTCGAGGGGTTGGGTGAAAGCTGCCAATAGTTTACTGCCAAGAGCCATTGGTCCTCTGTTGCCTGGCTGCTAGGAGTTGAAGAATTTGAATTGAAAATGTCCACGATACGAAGCCTCTCTCTCTCTCTCTCTCTCTCTCTCTCTCTCTCAATCCAACTGCAGAAGGTCAAGTGCATGTGGATGCCTCCGCTAATTGCTCCCCAATTGGCACCAGCAGACCACAGAGAAAACTGCAGTACCAATTGGCCACAAAAAGCACCGAAATCAATAAATTGATATGTTATGTTGGAGTTGGACGCGGCTTGCACCACTCAGTTTTTCTTTTCCACTACATGGACCAATATGAGATAAACAGGTGTAGGCATGATTCTATTCCCGTAGAAGACAACACTACCCTTTTTTTTTTTTCAAAATTCCTATGTGATATAAAGTTTGCTAATTAGTTAGTAGTACTACGATGGATTATACAATTTTGAAAATAAAATACCGTGTGCCACGTTCGTTTTGTGATATAACGTATGAAAAATAAAAAAGACGATTGAAAATTATATTTATAATACAAGCAAAAAAAAAATCTTGCTAATCAAAAATTCAAAACTACCTCGGCAACCTCAATGTTACGAGCAGCTCGTGCGCTCCAATGACCTATTGTGTTTACATCATGACATTCAGAAACTTTTAGTTTTAAGGATAGACGAATGTAAAATATGATGTTAAAAATTATATGTTTCTGATAACAATTTAGAGCCCATTTGCATTCTGAGTTTGGGTAAAAAAAAATTTTTTTTTTCAAATATTCTGTTAACGCATTTACTAATTATCTTTTTGTTTTACACACATCAGATTGTTATATGACATCTTTTTACAAAAAAAAATTTATTAAAAAAATTGCATTGGAAACGAGAACTTATCTTTCTAAAGCAGGACATTTAAGTTTTTTTCAAAATTTTTATTGGAATATTTCAAAATTTTCAAAGAGAAATGAACTATTTATGTAAGTTTTTGCGATGTGATGCCATAGTTAATACTAGAACTCTTGAGCTAAGTTTATTAGCCATTTACCGTTGGGGCTTCCTTTTTTTTTTTTTTTTTAGCTTTGTTTTCTTTTTGGGGATCCATGTTTAATAAAGCATTTACACTAATTTATCATGGATTTAAGTTATGACAAAATTGTCAAATTCCATCTTCAAATCCTGTTTGGCCTAAAAGTGAAAGCATGAATTTGTGCTTTGTGACGAAATTGTCAGCTGCCGAAAGCTACTTGTTCCTGATATCTCCCTTAATGGCTTTGCAAGTTAAAATGAGAAAATATATGCATCAGAGTAAGTTCTATGAGATACCTCCTTATTTACTATTTCTTTTCCTCTTTAAAGGTACTGGATTTCAATCAAAAAATTCGTATCTGTTTGGGCATTTCAGCATGAGGATGAAATTGGTGGGAGGGGATTCAGCTGGTGTTGTAACAGCATTCTATGTAAGTGAACATGCCCTCTTTGTTACATTTTACCACCAAAAAAAAAAAAAAAGAGAGAAGAAGAATACAAAATAAAGTACCAAAAAGAAAAGCTATTTTTCACATGATTCTTCACAAATCAAGAAACAGCTAATTTGATAGGAGGAGCAATAAAGAATTAATGAAGAAGACCAAATATAGATGATGCCTAATGGTTATGTGGTTGTATATATTATTGTTTCAGCTGTCATCGCAGACTAATGAACACGATGAGATAGATTTTGAGTTCTTGGGAAACAGAACAGGGCAGCCCTACATATTACAGACAAATGTGTTCACAGGAGGTAAAGGGGACAGGGAGCAGAGGATCTATCTTTGGTATGACCCTACCAAAGGTTTCCACGACTATGGTATCATATGGAACATGGATATGTTAGCGTAAGTTCCCCACCACCTGCAAAGTTTCTCTGTCGGTAAAAATGGTTTTGTCCCCCAAAAAAACAAAAAAACTTTCAAAAAGGAAGGGAAAAAGTCAGGAAGATTTGAAAATTGAATTAGGAATCTCATGATTGATTACTTTGTTAACGTCCAAGTCAAGTGAGTAATTAATTGATTATTTATTAAGTGCCATCTTCATCACTATGTTCATTTAACTATGAACAAATATTTGTGATGATAAATGCAAGATATACTTAGTAGGTTGGTATAATTTCTTTTCCAAAGTTCTTTTTTTTTTTCATGGTATAATAGAATATAAGTTATGACGATCATGGAAAATGTGAGCCACCGGTTCAAGTACAGGATACTATTATTATTGAACGCTCAAGCAGTGGGATAATGCATATAAATTAAACTATTGGTAGCATTTTTTGTGATGTGATGTATATATGAGATAAAAAGGTGATTGGAAAGATAAAAGAGCGATTGAAATTTGTGAAGTAAATTATTTTACTTCAAATTTTGTTTGTCCAAACACACCACATTCTAAGATAGCAAAATGAGTGGTAATGTATGAATTCAAACATCATCCAGCATGTGTGAATTAGATTGATCTTGGTGTAATTTTTGCAGGTTCTTTGTTGATAACACGCCTATAAGGGTGTTTAAAAATAGCAAAGATTTGGGAGTAAAATACCCATTCAATCAACCAATGAAGCTGTACTCAAGTCTTTGGGAGGCTGATGATTGGGCAACAAGAGGTGGATTGGAGAAAACCAATTGGGCCAATGCCCCATTTATTGCATCATACACATCCTTCCACATTGATGGCTGTGTAGCATCAACACCACAAGAAGTCCAGGTTTGCAGCACAAGAGGCCTCAAATGGTGGGATCAGCCAGCCTTCAAAGATCTGGATGGGGAACAATACAGGAGGCTGAGATGGGTCCGACGGAAATTCACCATTTACAACTATTGCAGTGACAAGGCAAGATACCCTACTCCTCCTATTGAGTGTTCAAGGGATAGAGATGTTTGAGGGGTTGAAAATGTGAGGTGCCAAAATTTCATTTTTGTTAACCTTCTCAAAGGAAAATGAATAAGATAATTATGTTTGAAATTATCTTTGATGTACCTTGTTTGGATATCTTGTTTGGTCGTTTATGTAGTAGCTAGATGAGCCATGACAACTATTGGTTGTTTGTGAGGAGTGACATTATTGTACTAATGATTTTTTTTTTTTCCGAGTTTATTATGATCAATAGAACTTTTTTTTTTTTTAAGCATATGATCAATCGAACATTAAATGGGGTAAAGTAATACGATCAAAAGATCAAGATTGTGCAGTACTAGAAATAAGATTGTAATTACGGATTTCTTATTTGTATCTAGGGTTAATCACATTTAATCCTTTTAAGGTATATTCCATTTCTCAGTTTATCTCCTAACTTCTAATTTTGCTCACTTAACCCCTTATAGAACAAAATTGTCGTTGCATTATTTTGACTTTTCATTTACCTTATTTTCCTTTCTTTTTCTCTTTCTTCTTTATTTAATTCTTCCTCTTTCTCACAAAAATCTTCACCTTAATGATTGAAATTAAAAAAGAGGAATTGCAGAGATCTATCTTCTCTTTAAATGATTAAAAAAACATTCAAATCACTTTCCTAAAATACAACTTTTTTAGCCTTTCAATTCTTTTAATTTTGGATTTTTCCTCTTTCCTTTCTAGTTTCTCATTTTATTCCCAATAAAATATCTTAAGATGAAATTGTGACCTTATTAATAATCATCAATTGAAATTTGTGACACGTGGCATCATACAAAAAATCAAGATTTTGACATCATACCCTTGAATCTATCGTTTAAAAATGTCACGATTCTGAGTCGCTATTTGTAGATGGACTCTTAAGGAAATATGTTTTCAGCACAAAGCAGCATTCGTAAAATGTGTTTTGCTAAAATTTGCTTCTCTGTAATCCTTACCTATATGGGGATGTTAGCAAAAACTTTGGCAAGAGATCATTTTGTTCATACAATCAAAGTAGAAAAGAGTACATGTAATATTGAGAATTCAGAGAGAGTGGAGTTGAAAATCCCCAGCCTTGTAGTTTGAGGACAAATTTTGCAAACTATGCTGAAATGGCTCCTCTTCTAATAAAATCAAATTGAATAGTCTAATAGCATAATCGGATCCACTTCTTATGAACTAATTGAGCTTGAGACCACCATGTTACACGATATGTGTAAAGGGCGATGTCAATGGCATTTCAAAAATTTGTTAATCATCATACTTCTGTTTTAACTTTTTTTCATCTGTGAAACGACAAATCTTGAAGAGTAACTTTTTTTAACCTATGAAATGGGAAATCTCCAAGAGGGAAAAAGTGATGAGAGGAGTGCAGAGTAATAACTTTTAGAAAGTAATTAACATTTTCCGTATGTAAATTCTAAAGAAATGCTATTAAATATTTCTACCATGCTTTCTCCAAAATTCGTATGAATCTAAACCCTTTACGGCTCTAAAATAAAAAATAAAAAAAAATCCAGTCAATTCCAAACCAAAAAAGGGTAAAAAAAAAAAAAAAAAAAGAAAACGCAGCTCAAATTTTTTGACTTCAAATCAACATTTGTATGACTAATCATGCTACACACAAATTTATTTACCCGACAGGATTTGAGTGGAGCATAACGGTGAAGAAAATTTTAACCAAGTGGATGGAGACATTGGCGGCTAAAGTCGTGCCTTTTAAATCTTTTCTTTCCCTGTAAAGAACATTCGGGTTCACAGGCTGTAATTGGATAAAAAGATTAGATTGGTCTGAGCTTCCACAATTTAACAACCCTAACGTCACTGGGGGTCTGCCATTACCTTAAACCATTGACCATTTCTACCCAAATCCGGTGGCTCAATTGCCTGCGGATTGTAGATCCCAGGGAGCACTTCAAAGTTGCTCGTACCTAATTCGATACCGTGTTAAAGTCAAACCTCCCAAAACACACGCCAACAAGCACTCTGGTTGGTCTGGTGGTCAAGAAAGGGTTGTTAGAGTTCTGTCAGATTTAAGATTCGAATTTTGAATCCTGAATTTAGAATTTTCTTTACTGTCATGCTCAAGGGTTGGAATTCTGAGTCCTGAGCTTGACGGTTAGGGATGTAATGGATATGGGGAGGGGGTGGGAGGTTAAAAGAAAAAGTACAAAGAAATTCATTTTCAAGTCCTGCCATAATGCTGATTCTGCACTATTATATATACTAATGCAGTGCTTTGGATTGAAGGAAAGGGGAAGGAAAAGGCTCTAGTGGAAAAGAAAGCAAAGGAGGTAGGAGAAAGTGGATTCCATCCATCTTATTTTAATTAAGTACGAAAGAAACATCAAAAATATTATTTGGATTAAGGAAAAAGAAAAAGAGGAAACTATCAAGTGTTAGTAAGTTTTTATTCATAATTTAAAAAGTTTTATTTTGAAACAGATAGATTTTTTAGGAAAGTTTAAAATTTTCATTAGTCTTAGGTCCTATTTAAAAACTCAATTTAGTACTTAAATTTAATAGATTCAGATATTAATAAGTTCAGATGTGTTCGATAAATAAAAATAGAATTTTTTAATTAATTAAGTGGCTCTGAGATACTCAAATAAAATTTACTAAAAACAATAAAATGATAAACTAGCTGTTTACTCATTACTTAATGCAGAATATACTCAAATATTAAGATTTTAGTACTCAAGAACAGTAACCCAACAGATTCAGATTTTATACTTCAATTTTATCAAACGCACTCTTTTCTTTCATATCTTTTCCTTTTCCTCCTCAAAAATCAATTCAAACATAAAAAATTTTATTCCTCTATTTCATTTTTTTCCTTTTCTTCATATTCCCTCAAAACCAACGGTAAGTCAATTAGGGCCCCGTTTGGAACCTGAGTTTTTTGAAAGTTTGTCTAAAACTTTATTGCAGTGCACTGTAGAAGTTTTTGAAAAAATTTATTGGTTTATGAAAAAAAAAATTTTCCTTTTCTTTTTTTTTTTCTTTTTCTTTCTTTCTTTTTTCTTTTCTTTCCTCTCTTCTTCTTCTTCTTCCTTCCCCCTCCCCCTTCCCTCCCTCGCCACCTCTGCCTCCGACATTGAAGAACCAGTAACCAAGGTCCAATTTTTTTTTTCTTTTTCTCTTCCCCTCTTCTCCCTCTCCCTCTCCCTTTCTGCCACCTCTGCCTCCGATGTTGAAGAACTAGCAGATGCCGTCTGGTACCGCGAATGGTTGCGATCTAGTAGTGCGACCAGATCGCAGTTAGGGGAAGAGGGAGGATGGCCGGGGAGGGGAGGGAAGGAGAGGGGGAGGGAGAGGAAAAAAAAAAAGAAAAAAGAAAAAACATCACAGAGGGTCACCGGCGTCAGGAGCTTTCTTGTTGTCTATTCTTGAGCTACTCCCCGAGCTGCTATTTGAAAGAGAGACGAAAGTTGACTTCTGTAGCACCCCAGTAGGAGAGCATCCCATCTGAGGGCTATCATCCCAGACGTCTGTCATGAGGTTCAGAGTAGATGAGCTCTTGAAAGCTCCTGCGTTGCTAGAAGTGCTATTCAAAACCTCTCCCAACGACTCACCTAGAATTGAGGGGAAGTTTGGAATAGGTTGGCATTTTTGGAAGGGAGAGGGGGAGGGGAAGGGTAGGAGAGGGGGATATGGAGAGGGGAAAGGAAAACAAAATTGTTCAGGCCGCCGCCGGAAGCAACGGCGGAGGTGGTGGTTGGCGATGAAGGTATGATGGATCGGGGTGGGGAGAAAGAAGAAGAAAAGAGGTGTAGTAGATATTTTAAAATGTGTAGATTAAAAATTTTGATAAATTTTTTGAATTTTTGTAGTAAAAGTTGTTAAAAAATTAGTAACATACAAATTTATAAAAAAAAAAAACTAAGATTCCAAACAGGGCTTAGAGTTTGCCACTTGAACAATTCATCATTACGAATTATTGATTTTGTCCTTTTAGACACTTATTCCTTACGTACTATTGGCTTTCGATAATGTAGAAATCTAATTACTTTTCCACACTTGAAAATTTGGTTCCACTCCACCTTCTGTTTCTCAGTCCAAAATGGTTGTTGAATGCTGACTGGAGCGAGTATAAGCCTTGTGCCGGCCATATCCTTAATCTTAAATTTTCAATGGATTAAGAGCCTCTGTACATACAAAATCAACGTATCAAATGTCATGCCTTAACTGTCACCAACTATTCGCTTGTATCATCTTTCTACTTCATTCAGTGGCACGTTGCAGTATTTTCTTTCCAATTCATTAGTGTTAGAAGATGTGACATGACATGTGACTGTGAGATCAAGAATTTTTTTTCCTTTATATTTTTTTTTTTGACAAATGCGAGATCAAGAGTTAAATTGGTGTTAACAACAATGCCTAGATATAAATAATGTTAATTACCATTTTCCAAATTTCTTCAACGTATGAAGCGAATAATTGAAAAAGCACTAGAGTTCTCTCCCAAAAAAAAAAAAAAAAAAAGCACTAGAGCAATTTAAATCCTCTTGTCTGCGAGAGGATTAGGTTGGGTGATAAGGTGAGAAGAAGCTAAATCACTGAAGTAGTTTAAATCGTCTTGTCTGAGGGAGTTAAGTTGGTGTTAACAAGAATGCCTAGATATAAATGTTAATTACCATTCTCCAAATTTCTTCGACATATGTGAAGCGAATAATTGAAAAAGCTCTAGAGTTCTCTCAAAAAAATAAAATAAAATAAAAAAGCACCAAAGTAATTTAAATCCTCTTGTCTGAGGGAGGGTTTGATTGGGTGATAAGATGGAAGGAAGGGTTTGATTGGATGATAAGATTGAAGGAATTGTAAGGTGAGATTCAAAAACTTGCCACATCCAAAAAAAAAAAAAAATGTTGTCCAGCGGTGGAAGTAGGACCTTTTTTTCTGCCCTTTATTTTGGGCCTCTATTCCAAGCTGTATCATTTATATAACCTCAAAACCTGATTTGCTACTGAAAAAGAAGCAAATAGATCTTTAATTGTCCTATAGTATTCCTTTGCTGATTTTAGTATGGAGGGAAATATCAGTGTCAAAAAATTGTTGTATGCCTTTTCCTCATTTTGTCTCCTTTGTCTCTAGATAAATGTCAATATATATATATACGTATATTTTTGTATG